TGTCAAAAACCTGTCCATTTTGAGCTAGCTAGCTTGCTCGCTTGAGGAGCAAAGCAGCTTGATAAATGGCGCAAACCGCCAGGTCTAAACATGACGTCATGGCGTCGTGAACGATGTTTTGACTGGTAGGCAATCAGAAAGATGACTATGGCAAATTATATGTTCCATTATTATAAATTATATTTTATAATTATGATTTTTTTTTAAAAATCAGATTTAAAATATTTATTAAAAAATAATTAGAATTTTTTTTTTTTGTCTTTCCTTTTTTTTTCTTATCTTCCCTCCAATTTTCTGAGGCCCCCCTAGCGCCCCCTGGCGGCCCCCACTTTGAAAACCACTGGGCTAACTCACCAGTGAGCAGAAAGCAGTGGTTTCTATTTGAACAATAAAGAATACAAATAACCTTTCACAAACAGCTCTACCATAACTGAATGAATCGTTTTTTTACCGATGCAAAGACGCTACAATCGATGCATCGCGAGTTCAACCCAAACTTTAGCCGATGAGCACTCTTTCAACCGGAGCACTCGCATTTTGAATGTTTATGCCGGTGCACCGATGCGAATCGGTGAATCTTAACAATCCTATTGGAGAATGTACACATTTTGGCACATTTCCTTAGCATTTAGAGAATTCATCAAGCTCCTGTCATGGCTTCCACTTAGTTCATCTGGGTCATTTCATCCAGTTAGGACCCCTCCTGAGCAAAAACCAATATATGGCTGCAGCAGGACTCTGCCATCTATCTGCCCTGTTGATTCATCCGGACCAGCTTCCCTTCAGATCCACCAAGGAGCCACCCTTTTGACTTTTTTTTTTAATAGAATAGAATCAATGTTGATCACCTGTCGCTGACATGCCAAGAGCTCTTGCTAAGATCAACTCAAAATAACTCTGAACAATCTGCTGTGTATGTGTGTCTGTGTGTGTGTTTTGTGTGTGTGTGCAGACATGGCGTGGCTCCGTCAGAGTCGAGGTTCTCCCCGACTCGTGCTGGTGGTGGTGTGTGTCGCTCTGCTGCTCGACAACATGCTGCTGACTGTGGTCGGTGAGTAAAACCACTCCAGATGTGTGTCGGTTGAGATACACATTAAGATACGGCATTAATATGATTATTTATTTATTTTCATTTCAAACTGTTTCAGATTATCTGAAAAAACGCCTTATTTCAAAGCTTTGAACAATTGGTTTTTCTTTTGATAATATAGAATTTTTTTTTACATGTAAATGGTCTGCAAAAGCTAAATTCCCTGTGTTCCCTGAGAGGGAGTTTTTCTCCTACACACTCCCCCCATGCCTGAAACGCTTCCTCCTTGGTTTACTTTTGCAACATAGTGACATCACTATGGAAAGCTCGCACTTCTATTTGCTAATGCTCCAACAAATTGTACGTGATAGGCTAAGGGGCGGGACGTCTCCAAGCAGTTGACTAATCACATCAGAGCCGGCAAGCTCTGTGCATTGTTCACAGGGTTAACATGAAGCCAGGGTCACATGAGGTCAGCTGTCCACATACTTTTGTCACTGTGCTGTTCCAGACATGGTACAGTAACAGATCGTCCTCCAATGTTCCTCTAGCTGCTGGAAACAGATTAGTGACGCATCTAAAAACCTGGAGGTTAAAGCTGTCGTCAGTAGTTAGACTAAGAGCTGTTTGTAAAGGCTGCACACACACACACACACACACACGCACGCGCGCACGCACGCACGCACGCACGCACGCACGCACACACACACACACACACACACACACAAACAAACACAAAGACCCTTTGACTTTGAACTTTAAAGTCTACAGTCTCTTAGTTCACAGTTGTCTCCTTCGGTTTCTTCTCCCATAACATCTCTTTCGCTGCTCTTCCTCGACTGATGTGTTTTATATGTCGTTACTTTGAATATATGTCTTGTTAAAAGCACGTTTTAAATATTTATATATTTGAAAATTCAAAACACATCATATACGTCATGATTTAATGACAGGAGAACTTTGCAAATCTAAGTTGATATTTAGCCATATGAATGAAATTGTTTACAGGATATTTAACTTTTGCTTAATTAAAATACATTTGATATTTCAAATAGTTGACTTCTTTCTTTTTGGGGATTGTATAAAAGCAATATATGGCTGTCAATATTTTACATGTGGCCTGGAAGACCTCAGCGCGGTGTCTCCCGCAGGTTTGAACAAGACTTAATTGAGTAGTATTAATGTAATACATTTTATGGCAGTGAAATTATTGTCCCTGGTGAGGTTTCATGAAAAATACAAAGAGACAAACTATATCACTGCACTGAGCATTTGTTACAGGACATATGTGTTAATGAACTTGATCAGGAAACCCTAAATGAACCAGTTATCTTCCTCTTCCAGTGCCGATCATCCCGACCTTCCTCTACGCCATCGAGCATCCCAGTTCAGAGCTCCAGACCGCCCAGCCCGCCCTGGTCCCTGTGCCCAGCCTCAGTGCACCACGCTTGGGCACGGTGACCGCACAGTCCCCCTCCCCCAGGTTAAACTTCCAGACCTCAAGCAGGAGCTCGGATCTCCCTCTGCCCAGCTTCAGTGCACCGGTCCTGGGTACACAGTCAGATCAGAGCCCCCGGTTGTCTCCTCTGGTGTCCCTGTTTGACAACTCTACCTTCAGCATGCAGGAGATTCGGACTAAGCCCACCCCTTACAAAGAGACCATGGACCGGAGTGGCCTGAACACAGAACAGGACATCAACGCAACTACAGTAGGTGATATTCACCTGACACTGAGAGTGCAGGGGGTATAGAGTGTATACAGGTGGGTTTATACACATGCTCTCTCTTCTCTGCAGGAGTCCTCATGTCTTCAGGACAGTGCGTTTCTGGAGGAGGAAAATGTTCAAGTTGGTTTGTTGTTTGCCTCTAAAGCTATCGTCCAGCTGCTCATCAACCCCTTCGTTGGACCGCTCACCAACAGGTATCTGCATGGGCAGACACTGAACTGTTTATTTACTAGCTGCACAGGCTCAAGGGTAAAAAAGGCAGTGACGTTAAGTAACTAAGAAGGCTACTTTGCTTGAGTACAATTTTGAGGTACTTACTTTACTTTTTAGGTAGGTATTCAATTTGGTTATACTTTGTACTACCACCCCACTACAATTATGAGGTAATTGTTGTATGTTTACTACATGTATTTAATACCTTTAGTTACTTTACAGATGTGGATGAATGATGTGAAACATAATCAAGTGTTAAATCAGACTTTAGTTCCACCTGGAGTAAATCCACAAGCTACCCTGCAGTATACAAAGTCATTAACACTAGCTGCACCTTTACCAGCTTTGAGAACACTTTCATGATCAATCATTATAAAACATATATTATTCTGAAATGGACCAATCTGCACAATGACTATACTTTTGGTACTTGAAGTATATTTTGATGCTGATACTTTTGTACTTTTAACTATGTAACATTTGAAATTATTTTACTTGTAACAGAGTATTCCCGCTCATTGGTAGTTTTACTTGTACTTAAGTACACAATCTGAGTACTTCTTCCACATCTGCCAAAAGGTAAGGGGACCCTTGCACTTAAAACTGTATATTTATCAGGTATATTGGGATCATTTGGGATGAGCTCTCGGCTCAGTCTAATGAGTAGAAAAGGAAAATAACTGTAGATTCTGCTTTTAGCGCTATTTACAACTCTTAGACCCTATTGAATGAAATAAAAGCTATTCAATTGTTCATAAGTGGTCGTTTATTTAGCTAACAAATATTAAAAATTGATTTACAGACATCTCTTTCCGTATGCATGTCAATAAGAAAAAGTAACAGAAATGTAGTACCACCGTTGGCCCCTAGGAAAATGTGTTGTGGTGCTCCACCTGGGACTTGGTCGTATCCCATTCAGGTCTAAAATGTCTTCTTGTAAGTCTTAAATCAACTTCCTGTTTCCTGTTTGTTGGTCTCTTTACAGTAAATAAGTGTTGCATTATTTCATTTTCTCTCTTTCTGTCTGCAGGGTCGGGTATCACATCCCCATGTTTGCTGGTTTCATCATCATGTTTGTGTCAACCATCAGTAAGTCACACACCTAGACGCAAGCACACACGCACGCACACACACACACACACACACACACACACACACACACACACACACACACACACACACACACACACACACACACACACACACACCCCACACATACATGATGACAGTGTGTTTAATATAAAGATATTTATAATCATACACTGAAAAAACTGGAACGTCGGGTTTTATTAAATGTATTGTGTCACACATTTCACAACTGTATTAGGTTAGTTGAAAGCAATACATATTGTGTTTGAATAACGAAATATTAGGTTTAAGTTAATATTATTGCTTTCAACTAACCTAATACAGTTATGTGAAATGTGTTGGCATAATACATTTAATTAAAGTCAACGTTTCAGTTTTTTCAGTGTGTGTGTGT